AGAGAGAGGGAGGGAGAGATAAACCTCTTTGATGGAGAGCTGCAACCTGAACTTTGGGCCATCGTAATGGTGCAGGACGGGCCTGAAGGCATCTTCTGTCAGAGGCCTGCACCGTCTCTTCACCCTGATTCTCACCTACGCAGCATTTTCATCAAGTGTCTTACTCATTTCTCAGCTATTTTAGAATGAGAAATCCCCATTTGGTTTTGCTAAAACTTAGCATAATAACAATAGGTGTAACTTAGTGGTGACCTATATCTGGATTGCCGGATTCAGATCAGGATTGGTAGGTGGGGGATTCCCGGTTGAGGAACCTCAGAAATGTTCTGATTCTACCAGTTTCGTATTTTTTTTGTTAAATCTTTGTAGTATGTAGTCGATCTGACTCAGCAATCACACAAGAATTACTAGAAATCGGAGTCTCAGGAATTAAAGGCTCGATTTGGATTTTTGAAACAATGATAATGAATACCTGTGCTGGAAACCTGGACTCTCCTTTGCATTTCTTGTCCTCCCATGCTGTGGGATCTATGTTGGACCCTCCAAAGCTATCAGCCTGTGTCAATTATCATCAACATAGTTTTTGAGAGAGAGAGAGAGGGGGTGGGGAGAGGGATTCATTGACATTCTTCTTTTAATGGCTAGAGCTTTGTGGTTGAGAAAAAGAGGGGACCTGAAAGACACCATGGAGTTGGTGGGAGGTGTAGTTGTAGAGGAAGAGTGGTAATCCTGGAGTTATTTCCCTCACTGAGTCCTTGTATCTCTGTGGCAACCCTGCACCATTAACCAATCATCCTTTTTAACACCTCGAAGAGAGAGAGAGACGTACATTGAGCGGATCTATGTAATACTTCAAACTTTTGAAAATCGATGGTTTAGATAACGTGTTATAAGGTCACTATTTAAAATTTGATATTTTTTTTATTTTTAATTCATCCATACGTCTCAAGATTGAGAAGATCAATTATGGGGTTTTTTAATATAAAAAAATTTTTTTCTGTGGATTTTTTAGGTGCACAATACTTCTACCATATAAGGTTGCTAACCCTGTGAGAGAGTGTTTTGCCCACTAAAAGAGAGAGTTTCTCTTAAAGGGAGAGAGTGTGTTTTGCTCATTAAAAGAGAGTCCCTTAAAGAGAGAGAGAGAGAGAGTGTGTGTGTTTTGAACCCAACAAAAAGGGCAAATGGTTGATCCAACTCAAGGAAAAGTGAGATATCCTCCATATGTTCTGCACAACAAGAAAGGAGAGATATAGACTTGGCCATTAATGGAGAGAGAGAGAGAGAGAGAGAGAGAGAGAGAGAGATGACCAAAGAGGTGGCGCCTGAGGTCCTCTTGCATGGTATCATTGTTGCACACAAAAATGTAGCCCCCCAACCTCTCACTCCTCGGCAGCATCTCTGAAGCAGGCAATGTCTTATTGTTGTATCTCTTCTCACAATACCCCCCAATGTTACCATTTTGCCCCGAATTCCAAATGTTGCAAGTGTTTAGAGAGATGTAGTCCTCCATTTTCTCACTCTTCTGCGAATTCATGGTGTAGGATAAATTACTGTTTTGCCCCTGTTCCGTGCTCGACTTCTCAGTCAGAGCGAGCTTCGTCATTGCGATGCTCCAGTTCTGCTCTTCCTTCTCAGCCAACTGCATTGGCGGCCATAAGGTGTAATTCGATCCCATTTTCACCCTCTATATTTTCTTCTTTTCTCTTCCCTTTTTTCACTTGGGTTGGTGGTGCTGGGGGCGGAGGGGTGGGGGGAGTAATAAAAACAAGTTCTGTGAAAGAAAGGAAGGTTAGTTGTTTTAGAGAGAGATAGAGAGCACAAATCAAGAGAACTACACAAAGTTTAAAGAATTCAGTGTAGAATCTAAAAGACTAAGAGAGAGAGAGCTTGAATCAACAGAACTACGTGAATTCTAAAGAACTCAGTGTAGATCTTACGTACAGCTGCAAAAACCTCAAAATCCAGAGAAACCCATGTCGTGCTCATAAAACTATCCTATAAACATCAGAGAGAGAGAGAGAGAGAGAGAGTGCTTGAATCAACAGAACTACGTGAACTAGATTTTACATATAACTGCAAAAACCTCAAAATCCAGAGACACCCATTTCAAACTCATAAAACTATCCTATAAACCAGAGAATGAGAGAGAGAGACCTGGTGAGCAGCAGAAGGGGAGAATGCAGTGGGCTCTGCTGTTCGCTTCGAGTTAACTTTTGTGTCTCTATGTAGGCATTCCCTCTATTTACAAACGCTTCTCTTACTGGCTGCTTCGCATTCCTTTACTCTGCATTCATTCCTTGTATTTATTTGAAATCTCTCTCTCTCTCTTTCTCTATTTGTTCCCTCTAAATTTATTCAAACAATAATGTCCTCTGTCCTCATCCTTCACTATTTGAAAGATTTGAATTAAAGAGTTTTCTCTCTCTACATTCAATATCGATATATTCATTTGAAATTTTGAATCAAAAGGTTCAATCAATACTGTTTTTTTCTCTCTCTCTCTCTACCCATTTGAATTGAGTTGTGCGCCAAATTTATCCAGCTGCATTGCAACTACTGCAAATTTCGAATTTCAAGGGTTGAATTTTATGGATATTCTCTCCATGATACTATACTGAATTTCAGTTATACCCATTTAATGAACTTGCCAAAAAAGAATCCTGTTGTGGGAGACAGGACAACCGTTGTGCGAGACTGAGATTTAAGGGGTAGACCCCATATGTGTCCAAACATTGGACCTAGTGGGCCAGGTCCGAATCCAAGTAATATTTTTTGGATCTCAATGGACGATATATATACGAGTAATGATACTATGAGACCCTCACATACCCATGTGTGTAGAACTCTAAAAGATCACTATTAAATTTGGCACAGATCTCTAAAAATGTGTGATAACTTTTTAGAGATCTGCGTCAAAATTTAATAGTGATTCTTTGGAGTCCTGCACACATGGGTGTGGGAGGGTCTTATAGGATCATTAATATATACATATATATATATAGAAAGATGCTAAGGTGAGCCCAACGGTCCAGATTGAATCTGGGCCGATCTGACGATCATGAATATCCGGTAGTATTTGAACTTTAATTTTTTTTCTACAAATCCAAATCACTTGAAATTTGGAGCGTGTGTATATAAAAAATAGGTGAATTTTTCAAACATATCAAAAAAATATTTTACATGAAATAAATTGATCAAAATACCCTCGAAATGTTTCGGAGGTATTTTGGTCAATGTGTTTTCACGATTTTTTTTTATATATATTTTTATTAGGTACGGCTTGATGAGAAGAACGCACGCTTAAAATTTCAAGTGATTTAGATTTGTAGAAAAAAAATTTAAAATTCAAACACTATCGGACATTTGTGATTGTCATATCGGCTCAGATTCAATTTGAACCGTTGAGCTCATTTTTTTCTGCGAGCTAGTGGGCTCACCTAAGACTGGCTCAGACATTGAGGGCAAGTTCCAATTTGTTAAAAAGGGAAATTTATGCACATATCCTCAGTTTTGTTATTTAAAAAATCTCTAAACTTTCATGTTATTAAAGTCATACTCAATTTTTTGCGAAATCTTTTAAATGATGATATTGCCTCTACTTCAGATTTTGAAAGTATCAAAATCCAAAGTTTAATGCTACTAGTGAAACACTTTTGACAGTAAGACGTGTTGGAGGTTAAGGCTTTCTTTAGAACTTTAGATTCTCAAAATCTGAAGCTCTTTTTGGAATCCAATAAGCCTACACAGGTTTATTAGAGGCCAAGCTTAAATATTTTTTTTTCTTATTGCAATAACTTCAAATTGACAACAAAAAAATATAAAAAATAGGTATGAACATAATATTCACATTTTTAAAAGAATTTTTTTAATAACGATAATTTAAAGGCATATCGTCGAAAACCAGTTTCTTTTTTGGAACGTTATCCAATCCATTGTTTCATGTTCAAATAATACTCCAAAATAAAGCTTTTTTCTAGTTGATGTTGTAGGGGCATACAACACATAGGGATGTCAACAAGCTCGAATTGAAGTAAGGCTGGTCATGCCTGAACCGGACTCGTTAACAACCCTATCAATACCTAAGAAAGGCATTGGGCTTTAGGGGTGGCAATAGTGTTGGATTGACCCACCAAACAAAGTCGACCCGACCAGGTCCAAGTCTAAACCTGATTGGTCGATCTATGTCCATTTGATCTTAGACATGGTACAGTTGGGTCTGGGTCCCAAGACTGTCTAAAACCTTGTTGGATAGTGTCAGTGTACATTTATACATTATCACCATCATTATTATCATTTGAACCTTATCCCAACAATTTAGCCGGCTATATGAATCATGTTCTATCAATGACCATTACCTTCAATCGTATTGTAGGATTCTCGTGAACCCCTTGGCTTGCAGAACCGGAAATCCCAAACACCGGGATTCCACCCAAGATCGTGTACATGATTGACTAAATGCGAAGTAGATGAATACAACTATAAATCGAGTGCGAGAAATAAAGCACACATAAAAAGCATACTAGAACAACACACGATCCCCAACAACTAGAAATCTACTATCACAATGAAGATTACGGTTTCGGTTACAAGAGATAATACCTATCTTTAAACATCGATAAAAGACTATCACCGATCTTCCCTTCTAAACCCGCTCTCCCGACCGAACACTGTCGATCAACATCCTCTTTCCCACAGCGATACCGCTATTGGAAAGATAACTTTGAGAGCAACATAGATACTTTCTCACTTTATAAGTAAAAGTTAACCAACCCAAAACTCATGAGAATACTGCTTCTCTTTAGGAGGCCATGTCTCTATATCTTGAAGACTCATCTCCATATTGGATATCCATTCCCATAACCTCCAAAAAGGTGACCCTGAAAGAATAGGTATTATGCCATCCTTCACTCTCTTATAAAGATATCACTTTCTTACTCCTCAAGAAATCCATTTTTTATATACCCTAATATTTAGAAACAAATATAGATATGGTGATTTAGCTATCACCAAACCCAACACATATAAATCGCCACATCCTTTCTTACTACTTCCATCCATGCCCTTTGGGGCCATTCCCTATCCCTTTTATAGCCTTCCACTTGTACCGTACATATATATGTGACTACTTCCATCCATGCCCTTTGGGGCCATCCCCTATCCCTTTTATAGCCTTCCACTTGTACCGTACATATGTGTGTGCCCCTTTTCAATATTTGAGCTATGTTAAAATAAAAGTAAATATAAATGTGTATTACACTAATAATCTACAACCACCTTTTAACATGTCTATAATCTCATCATATCAGTCACAACATATCATTCTAATGTCAAAAATGAAAACATAAGAATAAAAAGCACAAGATATCAATATAAACGTGCACCACACACATGCCAATAACATAAAGCTATACCCAATCACAATCATGCCAACCCTAGTAGCTTAAAGTACTTGTATTCAACTACGTGTCTAACGACAACCAAACACTATAATAAACGACCTAGAAACAAGATTGACCATGTCCAATGTTATATTCATGTTCTGGTACTTGGCAGCAACAAATACATTGAAATCAAAATTTTGACCAAGTTTGAGCATGTATGTTAACATATCCATGAGATCTAGAAAATCATGGGCTGAGATTTACTATTCACCGATCTTTGAGCGCAACCAAGCCACACGAACCGATCCTTTCAATGTCATAAATGCATCTCTATTGTATGCATCCTTCAAAATTTCCACCAGTTGCACTACTTCGGTTTCAGAAAATCCTTGTAATCCCTGTAGCTCATTTAAGCAACTTCTATAAGAAAAAAGTCCTTCATTACCACATCCAATCATCTTACCTTGAATATGATTTGTGTTTTGCACTTCTATATTTGCTAAGGCATTAGTAGTTCGATGCCCAGCACCCATTCGACTCCTTTTTTTGGGATGACGAGCGGTTACAGGAGTAATAGGCCATTGCGTGTTACTTTGAGAAGCTTCCCCTTCAACTTCATTAACTTCTGGTCCATCATTATCTAAAGCAAGTGACACATGCAATTCTGTTTGGGCGTCTGGAGCCTCTAAGTCTCTTTTGGACTGCTCTTTTTCATCTAGTTGGGTAGTTGACTGCTCAGCTTTGCCTTCTGCACTCATATCTATTAAAAATTGGGGTCAATTTATAAGCAATTCAAATAATAGATAAAATGAAAATAAATTGAAAAGAAACATATATAGCAATATACCTTCGAATATCACTGCAAATTGTTCATAAAGTGGAAAGCACTTGTATCTATACTGTTTCTCTTCGTGGTGCGCCTATACATCATAATAACGTTAGTTGCTCTCAATAGCGTAACATCAATAAAAAGCAATGAAGGTCAAACAAAAACTATACATATAATATTTACCAAGAGATAGCCATTCCAAACATCCTCTGCAGCGGTCACCATATGCATTTGATCGTCCCACTGAAAGCCACTTTGCCCAAGAAGCTTCTTGATCGTCTTATATTGTTTATATAATTGCTTCTTACGACTCTTTAATTGATCGATGGTGAATGTTGTTTTAAATTGTCTGTTAAATTTCACTATCATAATCTTCCATGCTTCTTTATTCCATCTAGTGTCACATTTCCTGCCGGCATTCTGTTGTTCTACAAGTTGTTGTACCAAAAATTCATCGTGCCATGGTGGCCAAGTGGCCTTGTTGCGGTCTTGGGTTCCAGGAGTAGAGGAAGACATAATTCCACCCAAAAATCCACTCTACAATTATAATACGAAAATAAAACTAAATATTATTTCTCCTGTTTATCAGATATGTAAGACCAAATGCACAATGAAAAACAAGAAATTACACAAAGAAATTATGAAAGCTTTAGTTGACAAGGTTTACAATTGGGCCCAACCAAATGAGAATAAATATGGTTATATCCTAATCTAAGGTACCCCTTCTATCTGTTTTCTAAAAAAAAAAAAATTGCTAACATAGAAAAATAGTTATCCAAGTCATAAGCAGGCCAAAGGGCGAGCCATGACCCCTTGCTTGTCTAGAAACCTAACCAGACCCAGGCATGTCACAATTACATCAAAACCAGGTTAACTTAGTCATCATGTCTATGGTCATTCAGTCTTTCTTTTTACAGATACACACAACTCACTTGTCTGGCAAATGTAGGTTGTATCAGTCAAATGATCATTCAATGTTTGTAAAAATATACACAACTTGCTCCTATCGTACTCCAATTACATACTAATTTCAATTGGATGATGAGTTATTATGAGTGTATAAGAAGTTGGTTGGTTTGACTAAGTGGTGGAATAACTGTGGACTACAAAAATATGCGGGCTTTAGTAACACTTTCTGGCAAGAGATTGTTGAAAGGTGTAATATCACGTGAAGGCCATTCAGTTTTTCTTTTTACAGATAAACACAACACACTTTTGTTTCTGGAAAATCTAGGTTGTATCAGTTGAATGATCGTTCAGTGTTTGTAAAGATAAGCACAATTTTCTCCCATTTTACTCCAATTACATACTAATTTCAACTGGATGATGAGTTACTATGAGTGTATAAGAGGTTGGTTGGTTTTACTAAATGGTGGCATAAATGTGGACTACAAAACTATGGGGGTTTTAGTAACAGTTTCTGCCAAGAGATTGTTGCAGGGTGTGATATCATGTGAAGTTCATTAAGTCATAACTTCATCTCGTAATGGGGCCTATAATGTCACAGGAAGTTAATTAAGCCACAACTTGATTAATGTTAAATTAACTCTAAGATGACAATCAGTTACCTAGTTGTTTATATTCTATAATTGAATGTGTGCAAATTGTTTCCACTTTTTTTTTGGGTAGGGTGAATGTTTCCATTGGTTTTAAAATATGAATGAACATGCACTCTTAGAAAACAAAGTGTGTTTGGAACATAATATGGAACTTGTTCATGAACGAAATTTTCAACTACTCGAGTGGCGCTACATGTTTTTTTCTATTTTGCATTATTCTGTTTAGAAATTAGGGCAAGCGATAGGTCAACCAAGATTTTCTGGATGATGTAACTTCCAACCAATCTTATTGTAACTATTTACTTAGATGGCTACCATCGTGGCATACATGTAGACAGTGAAGCAAATATCTGAATTTTGTTCAGAGACCCACTTTTTAGTGAGCCTTTCAAAAACACATTATTTTCTCCATCACTACCTAATGAGAAATGCCAAAGTGCATAGGCTCTAGGCAAACAGGCTGTAACAATCATCAATGTTGCAGCTAACAAAGCTTTGATGGGGGCTAGAAAAAATCAATCTATTTCAAGCAATAGATATAGACTGGGCAACTACATACATGCCAATACCAACCACTATACAGGGATACAAAAATCTTTGCCAATGAAGATCTTCCTGGTTAAGGATCATATCCTTAACTAGATGTTCCATGAATGTTGCTACTCTTGCAAAATAATCATTTAAAACTCTGCCATAAGATACAGAATTTTTGCCTGAGTCTAAATAGCATGGGCACCTGCTGAATTTAAAGTTTCAGCAGTCATACCAATACCAAAGACAACCCCCCAAAGACGCTCTCCCCCCCAACCAAAAAAAAAACAAACAGAAATCCACAAAAAAAAAAAAAAAGACATAGCAACAACAACAAAAACAGCTACTTTAGTTGAGATTTTAAATGCTTCTGCTCATAGTAGATTGGTTGAAAAGGGTCTCGATATTTTCAAATCAATTGAGACTAAATATGTTATATCCTGATCTCAGGTACCCCTTCTAGCTGTTTTCTAAAAATAAAAATGTTGACATATCTTCGTCCCTCCCAAGGATAGATCTGTGAGGCCCCCCTTTTGTGGGGGAGCCAATTTTTGTAAATCCTTTTATAATTAATACAAGTAATACAAGTGAACATTCTCAAAAAAGAATGTTAACATAAAAAAATAGCGGTCCAAATCATAAGCAGGCCAAGGGCATGAACAATGAACCCTTGCTGGTCTAGAAACCTCACCAGACCCAGGCATGGTGCAATTACATCAAAACCAGGTGAACTTAGTCATGTCTTTAGTCATTCAGTTTTCCTTTTTACAGAAAAGGACAACTCACTTTTGTTTCTGGCAAATGTAAGTTGTATCAGTCAAATGATCATTCAGTGTTTGAAAGAGATAAACACAGATTGCTGCTATTTTCAATTGGATCATGAGTTATTATGAGTGTATAAGAGGTTGGTTTCACTAAATGGTAGGGTAAAAGTGGACTACAAAAATAGAGGGTGCTTTGGTAAAACTTTCTGCCAAGAGATTGTTGCAAGGTGTCATATCACAATGTGCCATTAAGTCATAACTTCACAATGTGCCATTTGATTAATGTTACATTAGCTCTAAGATGTCAATCAGTTACCTAGTTGCTTAGATTCTATAAAGCGATCTCTGGTTGAATGTGTGCAAAACCATTTCTATTGGTTGTAAAATATATATAAACATGCAATCTTAGAAAGCAAAGTATTTTTTGGAACATAGCATTGATATGGAACTTGTCCATAAGCGACATTTTCAACTCCTTGAGTGGCTCTTATTTCCTTTTTTTGTTTTGAAAATTTTAGACTATTCTGAGTCTTTAGACATTACGGCAAGCAATAACCATTCAATCCTTTTTTTTGGGAATAATGTAACCACCAACCAATCTTATTGTAACTATTTATGTAAGATGGTTCCATTGTTGCATACAGGTAGACATTGAAGCACATATGTGAATTTTGTTCAAAGATCGACATCCTAGTGCCTTTCAAAACCATATCCTTTTCTCCATCATAGCTAATGAGAAATGCCAAAGTGAGCAGGCTATGGGTAACTAGGCTGTAACAATCATTAATGCTGCAGCCAACAAAGCTTTGATGGGGGCTAGAAAAAATAAGCTATTTCCCAAGCAATAGACATCGAGTGATCAACTATATACATGCCAATACCAACCATTATACAGGGATAGAAAAATCTTCGCCAATGAAGATCTTCCAAGTTAAGGATCATATTCTTGACTAGATGCTCCATGAATGCCACTCTTGCAAAATCATCATTACTCTGCCATAAAACTCAGAATTTGCCCGAGTCTACCTATAATGGGCACCTGCTGATTATTAAAGTTTTCAGCTGTCTTATCAAATATCAACCCAACCCCAACCCTAACCACTTCTCCCACAATTCCAACTGATAGTAAAATGATAAAAGATCAACCAGGCACGATCCAATTAGCCCCCAAATATCCTTACATGCCACAACTCAAGACAAAAAATATATATATTCCCTCCCATTAGTCTTTCTTTCAAAAATCACATTCAAAACCCTAAATTTCAAAGCATGCGATAAATTATTATGACGCTCAGACAATACAATTTACCCCAAAAAAATTTACTCACCCAACAAAAAAGAAAGAAAGAAGAAGCTCATACAATACGGAGATTAAATCCCAAACGACCAATAATTTTATGAATATTCAGCCTTAAAAAGGAAATTAGATCTGATAATTCCCACCGATTAAATCTGTAACAACGATTCTATGCCAAATAAATAGAGTAAAAAGACGATGAAATGGCGCATTGTATGAGTTAGGGCTAGAAGCTCGTATCATGCACGGAAGTGAAAGAGAGAGAGGAGTACCTGAGCTTGGGGATCAGAGAAGAAGCAAGACTGAAAGTCCGTGCTCCATGGAGATGCAACGCTGGTCGAGAGAGAGAGAGATTCCTCAGAATTTTCGGTTTTTTATTCGAAGGGAAAAAGTTTCACAGGGGTGAGGTCTAAACAATCAATTAAGGCGCATTTCAAAAATTCACTAGAACGGGTTGTAGGCGCTTAAAAACTCTCATAAATTCGATCACCATGACCTCATTATGCATGGACATAAAAAAAAAAAAATCTCAAGTGTTGAGAAACAATGCTTATAGGGCTGAGAATTTTTTGGATCGGTTTCTGTTCCACCCAAATCCAGAACTGAATCTAAAAAATATTCATAGGATTAAGATCTAGATCCATATCCGAATCCGATAAGATCCATAATGTTTGGATCTGCATCTGAATCTGAAACTATATATAGAATTTGGATCCAATTAGTTCGACAATCTGATCTAGAATGGGGATTAAGTTTTTAAAAGTAAAATATTATATACAGTATATTAATAAACTAATAAACATATGACATATATAATAATATATATTATAAAAGAATCATATCCGATCCAGATCGGATCCACATGTACCCAGATTTGATGTGAATAGTAATTCAAATCTAAATTTTAGATCCAAATCCAAGTCTTGGATCCATACCTAGATCCGAAAAGGATGTGAAATTCAAGTTCCAGATAGGAACCAGATAAATTCTCAACCCCCGTCAATTTTTAAGAGTTTCTAGTGTTTATGGAGGTGCTCAACCTACACAGTTTTGAATCTTTAATTTTATAATTAAACATGAAAATAAAATTTTAGACCATCATAAAAATTCTTGATACTAAAACAACTTTTTTTGATATTGTTTCAATATATGCCTTGCTTTGATTGTTTAGGGGTATCGGACTCATACAAACCACACGCGTACTAAGGATGTAATGCTTTATATCGCCTATTTCAGTTAAATGGTACATATTTGATATGTCTCATAAGATAATGTAAAAATGTGATGTGTTTTAATATTCAATGAATGTGGTTTGCATAAGGTGTTAACTTTAAATAATCAAAGTGATTGTGTATCTCTAAATTTGGCTAAAAGGCGCATATCCGGTACCAAAAACCCTAACGATGGCCTCAAAATCTATTTTTACCTCTAACGAGCTCAAAAAAAGAAAAAATATCCATAAAATTGACACATTAAAATGTAATGTAAGATGCACATCTAAAATCTTTCGAGAAAGGTTGTTTTGATGTTGAAAAAAAACATCTTATTGATCATCTTGGCATCGAGATGCATAGATAGGGAGAAAAAAGACATTTTAAGTTTTAGAAATAGTACTTCTTACAACACATTATCTTGGCTGTCCATTTTCAAGATTTTTGTGTTTATATATGTACTTGATTTGAACTATTTTTAGAGTAAAAATTTTTATAATTAGAGATATAATTGACTTTCGCAACATCCTAAGATTTTTCGGCACCAACATTGCATCTCATAACAAAGTTTGAAGCTGAGTTTAAGGTGCAACCTTATAAAACCCACCTCTTAAAAGATGGTGTAGATTGAATAGTTTTATAGACACTCAAAATTTTTAAAAACAAATAGTCTAGGTAACGTATTATAAGATGCATTATTTTTAAGAAATGATTTTTTTTTTATATCTATTATCTCAAGGTCAAGATGATAAATTATAAGGCTTTTCAATGTCAAAACAACTTTTTTTTTTAGAATTTTTGAGGTTCACCTTAGTTTTACAATACAAGTCTGACTCCTAATGTAAACTTTTTTTCTATATTGAATTTATACCTTCTAAGCCAAATAGATAGGAAGTACTTTGCATGTTTCGGATTGGTTAAATTATTACATTGTCCTTGTTCACCAAGAACATTGAACAAAGCCAATTTAGATAATAAATTTATACAATAAGACTATTTATTTTTGGTAGAAAGAGATCACAATCATTATTGATTGTTAGATGAGAAATCTGGTGGTTGGGGATATATTATTGATTAGACAAAATATCTAAAATAAAATTACTTGAATATTGTGACAATATTCAATTTTTCAGATTTCACATCCAATGGTTAAAATATGTTTGACCACCTTGTATAAAAAAAGTAATTGCTCTTATAATATACAATCCTTTTTGATAATTTTGAAAATATTGTTTTAAGGAGGTATCCAGTAAAATATAAATTTATAAAAGTAGGTCAATTTTTTTTTAGACAAAAAAAAAAAGAAGGAAAGTAGGTCAACTACCCCCATCTTTTTTTTGTTTTTTGACGACAAGGTCAACCACCATATCCTCCGCCCCAAAACTACTGAAAAAAAGAGGTAATTGTCGTAACCGCCCACACAAATATAGTGAAAGAACATTGGTTTACTTGAATATATTAGTCTTAGGGAAAGAGAATATATATATATATATATATAGAGAGAGAGAGAGAGAGAGAGCGGGAAGCATATCTCCCACGGGTTAAAAATGTAGTCAGAATGCTTTTTTGAATCTGAAAATTTGGATCCATTTAAATATCAAAAGATAATTATTTTTTGGAAAAAAATGGATTTTGGGCTCTCGGAAATTTGGACGGTGTTCGTTTCAATTTTGGACAACATGTTTTAAGTTTGATTTTTTTTTCCTTTTAATTTTTTGATGGCATATAGGTAATTGATGTAAGTAAAATTTTGGCTATTTAAAATTTTTTATTTTTTATGGCTTATTTTTTTAAGGAAGTGGGAGGTGGTGTTGAAGGTGGAGTTCAAATCTTCTTCTTTTCTTCTCTTTTCTTTTTTTTTTTTTTTGACATGAGTTTTTTAGGAAAATAAATGGTTTTTTTTTTTTGGGAAAATGTCTTAGGTTTATCCTTTAATAGGATATGGTTTGGAGTGGTGAGCATAAGTAGAGAAGTCATAATATTATGAACTTAGGATTTAGAAAGAGATTTGGGGGCTCATGTTGGATAAAGAGTTACTAAATTAGGAAGCGATAAAACGTGAATGAGAGAGATATATAAATTTTGGTTTTTTATTTTTATTTTATTTTGTTATTATTATTATTTTTAGTGTATTTAAAAAGGAAGATGTCCCTTTTTGTATAAAGATTATGAATTGAGTAAAGAATTTAGGTATTGAAAAAAAATCTTTACGGTGGGCTCCCTTACAAATCGAGAAAAACGTATAATCTCTCATCTCTTATTTTATCTTTCATTTCATGATGATGATCATCTTTTATTTAAAATCTCCAAAATTTAGGTCAGAATGAAAGAAAGTGGATGGTTATACTAGGGAAATGTATAGACTAATAACTCCAAATAACCTTCAAGAGATGAGGATAAAAAGTTAATCGGTATGATTAAAAGATAAAAGGTTGCTCGAAATGTGAATGGACTTCAACTAACCATTTGGAAAAGGTTTTCTTCATTGGCCATGGACCTTAAGTGAAATGTTTCAAATTATTTTACGAGCTGAGATTAAATTCCAATGGAGCATTGATAAACATTTTTTTACCCTGCCAACCAAAATTTAATAAAGAAAAATAAGATACTTCAAAGGTTACTTATTGTTGGTGCAATGAAATAGGACACCGCTCATATGAATGCTCAAAATATAAGACAGCACAATCATCTGGCATGCGGAAATATCACCTTGGAGCATCAGTGTCCATTACTCTAATTTGTACCACTTTCTCGATCACCGCATGTCATTCCAATGGAGAGTGATGATATTATAGATACATTGTCCCCAACATCCAGACGTCCAATTTAGGTCAAGTGAACCATCGACTGTTTGATCTAGATACGACCCTCAAAAATATTTTGTTTTTAGTTTGTTTCTAAAAATTGTATAAATAGGAAATTTGATACATATCATCTTATCAATAGAATACACCTAAAAAAAATATTACAAATTTTTTTAATAAAATATAATAACTAGAATATTTGAAACTTTCATAGGTATTTTGGTTATTTTATTTTATTGATAATATATTTTTATATTTTTTACAAGTGCAAATTTAAGAAAGAAGCGGACGCCGAATATTTGGTGTCAGCATATTTTTGTAAAAAAATTAAAAATAAAATAATATAAAGACATGACACTGTGATTAAGACCATCTCATACGATTGGACGGTTGGATAAGGGAAAGTATATAGATTAAATCTATATGCAGTACAGGAAGCATAGAAAGCTTGTTATAAATATAACAAAGCTGAGGGAGAGATCTTAATCTCCAGTCCCCTTTTTCATTCTCTGTAATTCCCATAAACTATGAGAAATAACAAATAAACAAAAAAAATCCAAACTAATCTATGGGACATTTACCACCAACTTCGCTCTCTCTAACATCAGCTTCTCTCTCTCTCTCTCTCTCTCTCTCTCTCTGAGTTAGTGCCCCTAGTTTCTCACCCATCTATTGTTTTTACTCCCAAGTATGAAAAATTTATTTTTGAATGATCAGTTGTTTGCTTCAGGGAAAAGTGCTTGGCCCACATCTTTCATCCATTTATCATGTACGGTGCAGAACGCATCAAAATCTTGATTTTCGAGGCAATTATCATTGTCCATTGTAAATAGGCGGTGAATGTATCAAGGGACACCTTTAACCACTATCTCCAACAGTTAAAGAAACATCTTCAGTTAATAAGAAAAAGATGAGAGAAAATGTAAATTTAGTTTCCAACAGCAGAGCATTGTTGTATCCATACAACACAGAAGAAGAGATCAGGGCCTCTTTTTGAAAGTAATGTAAAGAGGAATGCTTTCATACAATAGTTTATAGTAATATAATAAAAACACCGATTAGACCATAAAGCAATTTCGTCTAGCGGTCGCCAAACTCAAAAATGGACCGCTAATACAGTATCATGGGCAACTCAATCAAAATTGACCGATAATACAGTATCATGCAAGGCGTGATACTGCATTCTCAAACCATATCCGAAGTGTGATGTTAGCTTATGCTATACCCAATGGTGTATCATATACCCATTCAACCCATTGATAAATGGATGGTGGAGATGAACTGTGACTCGAGAAATCTCCATCATCAGGAACCGTGGTCCATGCATCTCAACTGTCAAATTAAGAGATCGTGTACTGGATGTCACTTTGGTGTGTACCATATTTCATACACTGTTGCATGGTATGCTTTCTCTTGAAGAACATCAGTCTTTGCCATGTTTGTTTAGAGGCTTTAATGCTACCATATGAAAAGGAGAAAATGGCAGAACTGTGCCATTGAAATTACCAAATCCTTCACAAAAAGGGACCATTCAAGTCGGCTGATGAAATATAGAAACGGCAAGTATACAATAAGACCGCTTATCTTTTCTACGAGAAGATCACAATCACATGTACCTGTTAGATGTGAAATTAGGAAGCTAGGGGTGAGCCGTTCACCATGCTCAACGTCCAAGAAATTTTTATCAAACTTTGTGTCAAAAAATGGCACCCCTAACTGGCTGTTTTCAATTCCACTGGCTCCAGCTCATTGCGACCTTTTACCAAAGCTAAACTGTTTAGAGTAAACAATCCTGTACAAATTCATATAGACCCCTATCACATAAAGAGCAAGAGAGGCAGGAAACATAAATACTATGGAAGTATGAAGCAACAAAAAAGAACTACAATTTACAGCAAGAACTAATCAGCAATGCGATGCACTCTACTCTCGCAATGGTTTTAAAACTTGATGTGCAATTTCTTTGCTAGTACATGCAACCAAACTGGGATCAAAATTGTGTGTGTGTGTGTGTGTGATAGAGAGAGAGAGAGAGAGAGAGAGAGAGAGAGAGAGAGATGAGCACCATGAATCTGTATCATAGCTTGAACGTGAAAATTGAGAACCTCCAATTCCTGGATTTTCTTAATGCGAGCAAGAAATTGCAGATTGTTATTCCATCAGCATTTCAGATTTTAAGTGGTATTTCATACTCCTGCATGAAAGAAAACCAAGAAGAGAATGTTGTTATATGTATAGAGAAGATAATGTACAAGGTAAAGCAGGTTATCCACGAAGGGAGAGAAAAAACAGGACTTTTCTTCTCAAATTTCATGGTAATAACCAAGACGGTTTTTCCTTATATAGTGAAGATAAGCATTTCTCCATAATGCATCTCCTAATTTTCAGCTCCTTATAGTTTCCCAAAAACAGAACACAGCATGTGCCTTCCATATAAGACGCAAATCTTGAAAGAAATGCAAACAGACGAGATTCAACTTCAATCATATACTTGAGCAAAATAACATCTAGAATAAATATCAAAATACCTCCACCACCACAACCACCAATAACAAAAATGACAATAGTGATCCATGGAGATAGAGAACAGATGCTTTTCTCTTAAGGATAAGCGATCACAAACATTTTCTCTTCGGTTATTGAGGGAAACAATAAGCATTTCTCTGTCCTGAATATGCTGGATTGTCAATTCATTTCAGTTTCACAAAGGAGGAAAAAAGCAACTGCATTCAGGTAAGACAGATTTTGAAACAAATGCACCTCAAAAATCACGGATATGAATCATAACCTTACAACAAATCGCATCCAAAATGCATATAAAACCAGTAACACCATCAGCAATAACAACAAAAAATACCAACATCGGCAATCAGATAACAAAAAGTAATGAATGTGTGGGAGTGTTGTTTTGTTGGAGGAGGAGGCAATCACAAAAGCCCACACATGAACACAAATTTTAGTCAAAGAGCAAGAATCAGTCACATGTAACTATTAACAGCAAACGCCGGCCACAAATTTAAGAGTTTATTAAGCATTCACCTTTTCTACTCAACCATTTGGTACCTTCGATGAATCTTTGCAAATATTGTCTCCTTGAACACTATTACTAGTTGAAGAACCAACCACTGCAATTGTCTGAACATTTTTCCTAGCAACATGAAGCTCTTCAAATGCCTTTTGTAGGACACACATTGCCAAATTGTAAGTCTCTACAGTTTTTGCACTTTCTCTAGCAATTTTATTGGCCAGTTGACATAGATAGATGTATCTCCAAGCCCGAGATCCTTTAGCATCACCGTACATTTCAATACCCTGTTCATCGAATGCAATCCCACTCCTGGCATTTCTAGTCCACCTCTTTAAGATGTAATGAGCTGGAAGCAACATAACATTTTTAATGCTCAAAACCCTTAGAGCATGTCTACAAAGAATGCCTGAGAACTCAAACATTTGGCAGCTACAAATTACTGTCACATTCGAAGCATTGAACTTAACAGTACGCGCCCTCTTATCTGACCCAAATTCTACAACCCTAAACATGCTAGTTGACCCCTCTTCCTTGGTTTTTTCAGACATAAAACGATGACTACTCAAAAATTCTTCATGAAATTTCATGAACATGGTTCTTGTATAGTTTCCCATCGCCTGGTTCTCCAAAGGTAATCCCATCTTAACGCCTGGTTTTGTATAACTTGTAGTTTTGAGATCCTCTTCAACTTCCATTTTATGCCAACTGTCTTGGGCTCTCTCGTATTGATTGATAAGAACTTGCAAGTTAGCAGGGACATCTACATATTCTTCCAAAAATGAAGTCATACTTTCACATCGTTGGGCAGAACCCATGTTTGAAGAGAATATATCATGCAAATAAACTTGGACCCACTGTTCCCGACATTTATATAACGACTGAAGCCATTCATTGTCTCTGAGTTCATATTTATCAATAAAAGACCACCAACATGATTCAAACTCATCATTCATCTCAGTCAGGCTAATGCATTTACAAAAATCTTCCCTGAAATTGTGGTTTTTAAGCTCTACATGACCCAGCTTTTCTGACAATTGGTTTAAGATGTGCCTCTTACAAAAGCGATGATTCGTTTTGGGGAATATCATCGCAATTGCTGCTTCTATGGTTGCATTTTGGTCAGTTAGAAGAGAGACAGGATAGCGCCTGAACATGGCTTCAAACCACGTGTTAAACAACCAAAGAAACGAACTTTTTGAGTCATCTAGCAATAGAGCACAACCAAACAGGACAGGTTGCCTATGATGGTTTACCCCAACAAATGAAACTAGTGGAAACCCATTATGATTTCTTTTATATGTTGTCTCAAATGTGACCACATCACTGAAGTATTGAAAATCCATTCTTGACCTCCCATCAGCCCAAAATAAATTTGTCACACAACCTTCTTCATCGGGTTGTATCGCATAGAAAAATGAAGGATCTCTTACTTGCATACGGGCAAAATAGTCTAGTATATAATCTATATGCTGAGTGTCTTCTCCAAATATCCTCCTCCGAATACTTTGGATATCATCTATGCATCCCTGCAAAGTGAAGTCAATGTTGCTTGATTGCCCAATTTGTGGTCTTGATAGAGGCATCACACACGATGGGTTAGTTCTCGCATCACTTGAAGCATTCGCAAAGTTTCTCATACGCCGATGTGATCGAAGAAGCGACACTTCTCTCGACGTTACCAAAGCATGATTATGCTCCTTGATAAATTTTGTAATAACCCATTTACCAGAATCTACCATCTTTACCTTAATCATGGCCTTGCACCCTTCCCTTGTAATTGGTCGAGACCTCTGACCACTTGAGTATTTCTTTTCACGAAAACCCTCTTTCGAACACACAAAGTGTCTGCCAATAATTCTTCCATCACGCTTTGAACGACGATTCACGCTAAGACGAATGCTAAAACCCACACTCCTCGCATATGTATTGTAGAAAATCTTTGCAGTTTCCTCAGATTCAAACTCCATACCAACATAGGGTTCAATATTTGAAGGTCCTTCACATTCAATATACGCATTTTCCACAAAGTCCATAGCCATCTTATCAATCTCGACCTCACAAGCAATGGCATCAGATGAGGGGCAACATTCTGTCATCTCGCGATCTAAACCAATTGATGATTCTTTTGTGTTACTACTTCCAGGTTAGAATGTTGTTCCAGTCATTCATGATCTTCAAGTCTAGTACTACAAGAAAAGTACATTTAAGGAAGTTAGGGAAGTACGAAAAACTAAATTCATAATCTCCAATTTAAGGTAACAAATTCATAACCTATAATTTATAAGAAAAAAATAAAAAAAAAACGCAATCGCTATTTTAAGGCAAGAAGTATAATGAAGAGAAAAAATATAAAGGGTAAAGCAAAAAAGAAAAACAGAGAATAAAAAGGAACAGAGAAGAATAGGGGTAGGTACACAGAAAATAAAACAGAATGGAGACAATTGCAAAAAGGGAAACATCAGAGAGAGAGAGAGAGAGAGAGGAGGGAAGGGAATAGTACTTTGGTCTTTACCCGTGATGAGTGAAATAGGGAAAAATACCATTTCAGTGTAGAATCATTTACTCGTAGTTTTACACTCATGAATCATGACAGTTAAATTAGTTCGCTAACAAGCATCACTTCTTCCTTACTTTCTTTATCAGTGCAAGTATCATGTCATTGAGAATCTGATAATGATAAGAAAATATTGAAAACCATATTAGTATTGCATCAGAAAGGTATCACAATTCACAAGAGGTATACTAGTTCCTTTAATTCTTACTCTACCATGTAAATACTTAAAATTCTTCTTTATTCTTGATGAAATTTACCTTCTTTTTTATTTTCAAAGATCACCATCGCCCAAATACTTAATTCTGATGATACATATATCACAATCAACATATAAGAATCGCAGAGTCCAATCAATAGAAACTTTGTAAAACAAAGAGTATTGCTCTCTGTTTTTTTCCCTTTTTCTGGGCTAGATATTATTGCTCAAAATTTGATGAAAAAGAAAGTAAACTTCATCTCAAAAGAATTTTTTGTTTTCCTTTTTAAAGGATAAGAAGAGTTTTTCGTCTATTCTCGGATAACTGTAAGAAGAGTTTGATCCAGCACCAGATAAAGAAAAGTGTGAAATGAATCTTACTAGAAAGGGCCCTTCAATAGCTTAAGTGCCCTAGAAATTAGGGTAACAAAGCATATGCAATTAAGAAACAGACCCAGATTTATTTATGCATAAATTAGTTAGAGAGAGAGAAAAACATGCAATGAGAATATAATGGGGAAAAGAAAAAAGGTTTTATGAGTTTCTGAGAGAGAGAAAGATGAAAGGGTTAGAGGAAAGGGCAATTTTGAGTAGCAGGGTTGCAACAAAAGGCTAACTTTATGAAAAATGGAGGAGGAAGGAGCACCATGCCATTAACATAAAATGGGAAAATGCATGCTTATGAATTTTTAGAGAGAGAGAGCGGGATTACCTGCGAGCAAGAGGAGGGAGAAATATGGGCAAGGCAAAGGGGTGGAGATTGGGATTGAGAAATGTTGTTCAAAGAGAGAAGCACGTAACTTTGGTACTTGTGTAAGATTGGCGCGCATGGATTAGAGAGAGAGAGTCACAATCCTACACCGAGAGCGTCTACGACAGAGAGGAGAGTCACAATCCTACGCCGAGAGCGTCTACGACAGAGAGGAGAGAGAAATAGTCTCTTCGAGAGAGAGCCTATGCGTTAGAGAGAGAGAGAGTCCCAATGTCAGAGAGGAGGAAGGAGGGTGAAGGGGCCCGCCCAGTTCAGCCGGGCGAGGGTGGTTAGGTCAGGGCCATGCTGGGCCTCGACTGGCCCTATGGAGAGTAAGGTGGGAGCATGGCCGGATTGACCTCGGCTCAGCCCGTTGCCAGCCCTGGATAGATTAGATAAAATGTTTTAACCTTATCCTATAGAAATATGGTGCAGCTCGAAATTAGGGGGAGAAAAAATTATTCTAAAGTTGGAAAACCTTTCAATCGACCTCTATATGTTTAGATATAAAAAGAATTAAGTAATTTCAAATCTCAAAAATAGCCCATAATATAATAAGTTATATAGACTACCCATTTTCAAAGTGTTTATATTCCTGTGATATCTGCACCACTTTTAAATTTTTAAAAATTTCTAATTAGGGTTAAACAATGATTTTCAAGCCATCTTTAAATAAAAAGATTGCATACAATGGAACTATTTACCTTTACAATAGAATGGTCACAAATATTTACAACTAGTGAAAGCTGATAGCTTGTGTATATCACAAAGTTCGAAAAAAATTCTTTTGAACTTTATGCATAATCAATGACATAAATACAGCTACCTAAATTCACATTCAATAATCAAGATTTATTGTGGGTAAATGGTCTCATTATATACTTTCACTAATAAAACTACATCTTCGAGCAAAATTTAAAGGTGCCTTACTTGTATAGTATGACGCGGGCTTCTTGTAAGCTTATACCAACCTCAACCTTTATCCTAAGCCCTAGGTAAAGGACTTGAATGTAAGAGAAAAATATGGATGATGTTTTTGTTATAAAAGTATATCAAATGTAAAGGAAAGTCTTAATATGACGGGCAAGGTTCTAATATATCGGCTCCAATCATCTATCAATGCATTGAGGGCCGTTGCTGCGGTATCGAGTCTCCTGATGCATAAAATACTTTTCGTAATATATATGTATTACGCATTAAAGCATAGTGTCTTGAGGTACTATGAAAGCATGGATCATTGAATTTCAAACTATGTACATATAAATCTCATTTCAAACTATATACACATAAATCTCATTTAGGCTATTGTCGTCGTCATTATCAAAGCCTTTTTCAAACTAATTAAGGTTAACCATACGAATCATGATTCGTCATTCGACTCTATTAAGAGTCATGCCCTCAATGAGGATTTTGGATATTGACATAGAAAAAGAAAGTTACATGAGTACTCCATATGACCTGGTAAATTTCAAATTCTATTTTGACGTGTCATTAGGTACGCTATTTAACATGGGATTGTGTACGATGAGATCATTTACTTTTTGTACAAGGATGTCACAATTTCTTACAACCATCCGATGTGAAATCTAATATCTTAGGTGTGCATAAAATTTGTAAAAAAATTCTTTTGAACTTTGAACTTGATCAATGAAATAAATATAACTACCCAATTCGACATCCAATGGTCCAAATTAATTGTGACCACCTTGTACAAAAGGTAAATGGTCTCATTATGTACTTTCCAATTTAATATTTAGCTACTTGCCATCAGATTAAAAAGAAAAAAAGACAAGATGTTCAATGGTTCTTAGATAAATTTCCCAATAGAAATAAATTCAATAAATGATTTCAACATTCACAATGGATGGACATTGTCTATTTGGCGGGTAGCTGGTAAAGTTTTCAAAAACTCTGAACTCAAATTTCTTTTTCCTTTTTTTTTTTTTTAGTTTAAGATTGTCTATTTTCAAATCAAAGATGATAGGTACAATTTCAGCACTAAAAGAACCTCTGCAATTACATATTGGGGTGCAGCTTATATTTTAGCTACAAGCCTGATGGCTTACAAAATCCTTTCCCAATAGTCATGGGGGTCATCACCGTCCATTCCCTTGGTTAGATGGTGATAGCCACAGTGGGATGGATGCAATAAACAGCACCGATTGGATCCACTGCTTGGACTTCGTTAATATGATGCAGTCATATGAATCATTGAAAAATTTTGACATATCCTTTCCTAAATTATTGCTTACAACAATAACTAATAACTGGTGACGGGGTTGATATACTGGCTATCACTTGCTTTCCCTACGGAGCGTTAACACATCCCCCAACCATCAGACCATCAGACGTCAAGAACAGACGATTGGGGCACATCGTTCTCAGAAACTTTTGAAGAATTCCGCAGGGGAACGATGTGCCCGACTCTTCTTAGAAAATTGGGGAACTGCCCAAATGATAGCGTAGCATACTTTCCCTGAAAGAACTACAAATTCCCTAAAATATAATGTATAAAGCAATAAGGTAAATGGCTATAAAGCAATAAAAATCAATTTCCTTTTTACAGTAAGGAACCAGTAATACTGCTTCATATTATGTAGTGTCACTTGTACTGAGGTTGCTTTTAACACTCGATGCGTTGCTTTCATAGGTACAAGCAATTACACCAAAATGAGAGAGAGAGAGAGAGAGAGAGAGAGAGAGAGAGATGCCCCAAATTAAGCTGTCAAAACCTTGACAATATCAGCTGTGTCACTGTTTGACTACTCTCAATTTTTACCACTTTCTGTCTATAGAGAGAGGATGAACAAGTCCCATGAAAAGCAATTGTAGCTTTTGAAGGTATCTGCAAATCATTTGAACTCCCTCACCCTATCTTTCGCCTTTTCATTTTTCCCCGAATAGAGGAATGCCAGCTCCAAATTTTTCTTTTTATGTTGACAACCCCATAATGAGATAACAGAATCACTCACATCGAACTGCATTGTACTTCTCAATGAGATTAGGGGTTTTCATGATGGTATTCATCAGCATTTTGAACTTCGGGCTGTATTCTCCGCCACTGAATAGAAAGAGAAGAAAATGGACACTAATCAATTGATGATGTATAGTGAGAAGGAACCCCAATTATTCAGCAAAGAAAAAAAGGAAGGGAAAAAAAAGAGAGGAAAAACACCTGTAACATACTACCAAGAAATAACATAAAAGTAGAATCTGTATGCAAAGATAAATCGGGTGGCCACAATAGAGAAGATCAGCAACAACCATCAACTTTTACCTTCATTAATCAGGAAATTACACAATAAGATTCCATCCCATTTAAATATTTCAGTTCACCTAAACTTTGTGGAACTGCCTCAGAAGGGGCATCGAAAATGGAAGATATCCACCCAATTGAAAATCGGAGATCATAAACTTAGCGATAATGATACAAAATCTTTATTTTTTAATTCTTCTCTTGGCTGGTGTTGTGGGGAAGAATCCTCACGGCACACCAACTCGAGACGCGGTTTCCAGCTCCCCAATAGATGTGTGATGCGTCTATCGGAGGAAGAAACCATCAACCATCGTCTTTTGCACTGTCCGGTGGCCTTACACCTATGGGGGGAGATCCTGGCTCTCTTCCAATGGGAATGGGTCACTCCCAATACCATTCTTGACCTTTTCAAGTTATCGGTCTTCTTACCTTGGCCTAAAGCTGGCGGCTACTGTGGAAGGCCCCAGTGGCACTGGCAGCTATCATCTGGTCAATCTGGAAGAAACACAACAATAGGGTGTTCCAAGGGATATACGCACCGGCCCACAAGACATTGGAAACGATTAAGGGCCTTGTCGTTTTCTGGGCCTCCAAGATCCAACACTTCAAGGGACTGGCGGGTCACAATTTCCGACTCAATTGGACATCCATTCTGTCCTTGAGACCATGGAGGATCCCTCGCTCCTCCCTCTGGCGACAACCAGAGAGGGGGTTTATCAAATTCAACTTCAATGGATCCTCCTTGGGCAACCCCCAGCGCTGCCGAAATTGGGGGAATCTTCCGTAACCACGCGGGCATCACCCTTCTCACCTTCTCATCCTCCATCGGGATCACAGATTCCACAGAGGCAGAAGCGCAGGCTCTGCTTGAGGGCTTAAGGCTGTTCAATCCTACCTGGGAACCCTCGCTCATCATTGAAGGGGATTGCAAGAATGTTATCCACTGGGCTTTCCACTAAAGCCAACCCTCCTTGGAGATTGTGGCATATTTTTTACGAGATTTACAATCTTTACAGGTGTACACAGGTCTCTCGGACACATATTTGGAGGGAGGCCAGCCGCACACTAAGCTTGGAGCTACGATGGAGTAACAGTGCCTTTAGGAAGGTGCCGCTTGGTCGGCTTTTTGGGATCTTTTTGGGTTCTTTTCTTGGTTTCTTTTCCGTTTTTTCGGTTGACGTTTTTTTGTTGTCATCTATCTTGGTGACTTTTGTTACCCGCTTGGAGCTTTTGTATCTTTGTACTCTCTTTGTCATCAATACAATGTCAACATTATCAAAAAAACAAGAAAAGAAATTCAGAATAGGTTTCCTTAACTTCCAGAGAGTGCTCTTTGTAGGAAAAAAAAAAAGTATTTTACTCTGATACTCTTGGGTAAGAATTTTGGACACACAATTACCGATCCAAGAACAAACATTTGCGCATCATATTTATAACCATAATAGAATACGCTTCAATAGGTCCGATTTGAGATCGAATCTGTATCAGCATCCAACTGTTTTGAAGAAATTGGACACACAGGTGTTAGGGCACTCATGCGTCCCTAATGAGGCCCAGAAATTGAATCCCACACCAAGAAAATCCCTACAAACCAATCCTACAAATTTTCCAAACTTTATACTGCATGCTTGTTGAAAGATAAATATAGCTAAGTGTGTTTCAAAAAGCGCTAGGCGGCAGCTAGGCGGTCGGGAGGGTCTAGGCCGCCCAGCACCTAGGCGGGCGCCCAGAACCTGGGTGGCCTAGTAGATTTTTTTTTTCTTTTTGGTTTTCTCTCTCTAAAATAGCCTCTAATGGGTTTTAGGTTTCAAATGAACCTAAAACCCACAATTTTGCCCCTGTAGTATTAAAAAAATGACCCAAAAATACCCTCAAGGAGCTGCATTTCCGCCCCTGGGTGGCCGCCAAGCGGGTTTCCCAGGCGCCTAGGTGAATTCCTGGGCACCTAGACAGGTTCCTGGACGCCCAGAGATATCCACCTAGTTTGGCCGCCTAGGCCTGGGCGCATTCTGGACCGCCTAGGCGTTGGACGGTCTGCATTTTAAAACTATGATAATAATAGGAGTATAAAGGACGAATTAGTTAAGATTGATGGCCAAGAAGCACCTAAAAGAGATTATTTTCTATATCTTAGGTCGATAATCCACAAGAATTAAGAGAGAGAGGAAGATATCACGAATAGAATTAGAGCCGGGTGGACTTGTAGAGATGTGCTTCTAGGGTCATGGTATGATAGTTGCATACCAATGAAATTGAAGGGGAAGTCCTATAGGACAGCTATAAGACCGGACATGTTTTACGGGACAAAACATTGGGGGTTCAAGAAACAACATATCTCTAGAATGAATGTAGCTAAGATGAGAATGATGAGATGGATGAGTGGCAAGACAAGAAAGATTGATTTCAGAATTCAGAATGCATGCATTATAGGGAACTAAAGGGGTGACCATGTACAACATCAACATAGAACAACACCAATTAGGAGGAACGATTTTGTTTAAGTGGAAAGATCTAAAAAGGCAAGGGGTAGATCCAAAAGGACATGGATAGAAATAGTGAGAAGAGATATGGTGAGTTATGGTATGAATGTATGTATGGCCCTCGATAGAGCAGAATGACGAAACAAGATTCGTGTATAGCCAACCCAAATACGTGGGATAAGGCTAGGATGATGATGATGATGATGACGATGACCCCCCCTCATCACATACTTCTCGACCGCAGGAACTCAACATATTTCACTCCAGCAACAATCCCAAACTCTAGACTCCTATTGTCCAAACTAAGATTCTGATGCCACTTGGTCCTATAGTGAATATAATCTGGTTATTGTATTTACTAATATCCATAAGCAGGCACACATACACAGGTATATTGGAAATAATATATTATAACACACAGGATAGAAAAACCATAGATCTTTAGTTGAAGTCTAATTTCGTGAGTTTTTTGCATGAAATCTGGATTTCACGCATTACTGTTGTTGCCCAATAAACAAAAGATCGCTAGGGTGCACACAAACTTCCATCATCAAGAAGTAGATTCTCCTCTTTGGTAATATTAGGGAACCCATTTCCGAAAACCACATAGATCTCTAGAGTAACTTCTCTAATGGAAAATTTGTTGGGCTAGTCCTTCAATCTTTATGCTCAAAGATTCAAAGAACAATAGAAAATAAATGAGTCAAAGTAATTCAATAAAAAAAAAACAGAAGAAGAAAATCAAACAAGTAAAAACATGAGGCATCGAAAACATATTAAAGAATGCTTCTTCTATCAGATATAACACCAATACGAATAAGCAATTTACTCCACCATGAGCATATCTTGAGAATTGTTTTCTCCTTCAATAGATATCATCTCAAGAAATGTTCTACGACAAAGCTAGCATGATAATTTGTTACAACAAAATACACCACAATCAAAAGGACAATGAAAACTGATATCAACTGAGGTGATTACAATCCAATAAAATGGTCAGTGAGAGAGAGAGTGGTTAGATGACTCAAAATAGCTCCCCCCCTCTCTCTATCACCATTGAATACATCATCTCCATGGACAAGAAGGACCCCAATGGGATAAGGTTTTCCACAGTCCACTTGGTTTTGGTATATATTTCCAATATTTCCTCATCAAATCTGCTTAGAAATAATTATTCTAAAAACAAAAAGGAGCACATGACACAAGAACAAAATTCATAGACACAACAATTCAAGGATGAAAATGAAGGACAAGAAACCTTAAGTGATTCAGGGAGGCAATAGCACGAAGAGCACTCCGGATCATGTCTTCATTGCGATCCACTTCCTGCTTAACAGCATCTTGCTTTGGCCTGTGACTTATAGTTTTCTCTAGAGGGCCCACCAACGAATCCAGCACTGCAAATTCGAAAGTTTTTTTTTTTTGAGGGGGGGGCGGGGCAGGTTCAATTAGCATAGTTTGAAGGGACAAACTTGACAGAGAGAGAGCATGAAACAAATATAGATCATGAACTGCTCACCTGCAAGGACAGCAGAAGGGCATTTGTCCGCAAGTTTAGAAAGGATAAGATGGCAAGGCATTTTGACATCATAATGATCTGAAATGAAATTAATTCCAGATTGTTGTGGCGATAGTGTCAGCGAATACCCAAAGAAATATCATTTGCAAAATCTATTCATTAACATGCATTTGAAAAAAAAATCAGACCAAAATATACTTCTTGACTGAATCATGACATGGTTTAGCACTTTGCTATCCTCTACTCATTATTGTATTTCTTATCTCACTGTTAAGTGCTTTCCTGGAGTTAACTTTGAAATCTTTTCCCTAAGGAGTCCATGATGGAATACAAGCTCTTTAATGGGCCATTTTCCTTTTCCTTGGCCCATTTTCCTTTGCATTTAGACAGCCTTTTAAAAAATTACACTCCTTGTAATGTTTCAATGTACTGGAAAACAGTTAAATAGAGAAAGAAAAATCACATCAATGCTGCTCCTAACTGCTAATTCTGGCTATTTATATTAGGCCTGAAAATCCAATTAATGTAACAGATACACCCCAAGAATACAATAAACTACATAGCTATTGACATTTAAAAAGTAAAAGAAAAAAAAACTGGAGGACAACACATTTACCATCCAAGCCAGCTTTTAGGTAAGGGACAATGAAAGATGATGGGTTCACTTGATCAAGACAACTGTCGAGCAATGTATCCACACATTCAAAAGCTGCTTTTCTAAGCTCAAGACCATCATCCACAATGTGCTTGAAAGGGCCAAGATCAACTGTCCTTATCAACTCTTGCTGCACCAGAATTGCCAAAATACATCAAGAAACCAATATAATATGCAAGCACCTACACACACGTGTATCATTTGTAAAGAGGCCATTTATAGAACAACCCAATCATGTCAAACCTCACATATGTTGCTTACCTTGACGACAGTCTGGTCATAAAGAAGAGGTAATAGCTCTGGAAGAAGCCCCTTGATGAGGTTCGGCTTATTGTGGGCTGCTGTGCTCAAAGCTGAAACAGCTGCTCGTCTAACATGCTGGGGATTACCCCATTCGAAACTTCAATTAATAAACAAATCTCTCTCTCTCTC